GTCTTTACCCAATACCCATGGTTCTGGAATGGCCAAAGCCAAGCTTATAAGAGCCAGAGAGGGGCCCCACAAGAAGAGAGCATGGAAACTTCTCAGGCCGAAGCAAGAGTGTTGAAGTTAAGATAGAATACGTCGCAGGAGTTCTGTCCCTCTTCATTCTCATGACAACTGCTTGATTCCGGAGTCACACATGGGCTTGGGGCTGCCCTCCAGCCACTTCCTGGGCTGCCCTGAAAATAACATGGGCTGTTACTGTTCTGGAAACTTACGGATAGGACTTGTTTCCCATAGAGTTCCATTATGGTAATAATCCCATCTAAGTCCAAACTTCCGCCCTACACTACGGCTTCTCATGTCATAAAGTCTATTTCAAAACAATTATCTCCCTGAATAACCATGATCCAGTTATATGTGACATTATACCCACCATATACTTGAATCGACCTCTCAGCTGTTGGAACAAGAGTTAAGTATGTCAGTCCTCAGTACCTAGATTTCGTCTTCATTTTTGATAGAATTTGCAACCCTTTTGCCTAAGGAAATCAGCCTTACTGTGGCGATTTAGACTAATACCTTGTGGAACCTATCTTGGCAGCTCTTAGGATACTTTAAAATGTATATATACCCTTTGGCTTCCAACAGTCTTCCCTTCCCCATTTTAATCCGTAATTTTATATATCCATTCAGGGTTTTTTATCTATCCGAACAACACTGTTTTTTTCCATAAGGTATTTTATTGGTTTCTTATGTATCTTCATCATTAAATGCACTCGGGTTATAATTCAATAATTTGTGCAGAAGCTGGCTTTTCATATCGTCATTAATAATTCATAAGCTCCATAGAATTACTTGAGGCCTTTTAAACCAAGTATCTTGAATCTTAACATATCCAGTGTCGTTTTAGCTTCCAGTTTGGAAAAAAAAAAAGATGATTGTGACAGGTTGTGCTGTCTCAGGAGACCTCGAATACGAATTTTATTCCTGTTTCTTGTTTCTTGGAAAGTTTAGGATGCTTAGAAAGCCTGGAGTGTAGAAAACACTGCATATCACAAGCAACAATGTCACGCCAGTTAAAGGAACTCACAGACTGAAAAGTACTGGTAGGAGTTAGAGAAGGAAATTTTCCATCCAGGCTCATCACAGAAATCTCCGAAGTACTCCAAGCCCAGAAGATACCCCGGGGAGGCCCCTGGGTTGATACTAAGCCATATGCATGGTTATCCTCAAATTACTAGGAAACTACAGTGAAATCAGGGGAGTCTTACTGGGACCAGACCCACTAAATTTGCCTGGCTGAACTGGGTGTGGAAACATGCACCAGTACTTTTGGAATCCTGGTATTTACTCCCCAAAGAAGCCACACTTAGAAATTTTAGGAGTGAACTGTTAAGTCTGGGAATAATGAAAATTCAGTATCTAATTTTCAGAGCTGTAATTCAAGTGGATAGTTGGGGTTGAATAGTCTTTCTTTTTCTTTTTTCTTCATTCTTTTTCCCTTTCTCTTTTAAGTTGAAAAGAGACTTGGTTTTTGTAGCGGGGAGAAAAGGCTTTTCTCTGGGTTGTTTCTTTCCTCTCAATATCCATTTTCTGTTAAGTCCCGTTGGGATCCGTTCTCATAAAGTAAAGCAGCTTGTGTGATCTGCTTCATTAGACTCAAGTTGAGTCTGCCTTCTTTCAGAATAGTAGGGTGTTTTGAAGCACTGGTACATCTCAAAGAAAGGAGGCCGTTTCCTTTACAAATTCATGTTTTTGTAAGATGAGGTGTTGCTGAAAGAATACTTTTTCAGTCCCTCTGATGTGTATAAAACTGCTACACAGAACCATTATGGATTCTGAGTAGTTAGAGAAATGAGAGAGAACTTGGCTCATCTGAGCCGAGAATCTTCTAATTAACTGAAAATCATTTCCTATATTTGGGTGAAGCTGATTGCACTGGAAATGTACTAATGTGGAGACTGCTGCATTTTACAACTGTGTTTTGCTGGTATTTGTAGTTGTGATGTAACAGCTACTTCCTGCTCTTTTTGAATCAAGTGTTC